CCAATATGAAAGTCGGTAAAAATGAATTGACATTGTATAATGTAATCAAGATCATTAAATGATTTCAAGTATTTATCAACTGCATTTACTTTATAAACAATTACTTCTGATGACTTCCAAAGCTATTACGTAATTTTGTTCTTGATAATTCATTTCCCGTTATCTTGCTGCCACTATCTAATATGGCATTTGAGGCTGAGCAAGTAGATTTTGTGGCTTAAATATAAAGCTTTTTGATTTAAAATAACATTTAATTATGCATGACAAAAAGAAAACAGAATGTTTTTCAAAGGTATTTAAGAGACGTCTGTGCAAAAATACTTACATGCATAGATAAATCAAGCAATTGCTACAACAGTACGACATCCATCATGCACATTATATACGAAGTATATTCGCGTTTCAGCATATTTATAAGCATCCTACAAAATATATCAAAATTTTATACTTATTTTGTTCATAGTAGTCTTATTTATTTGCTCCTGTTACCCCACATGGAGGAGCGTAGGTCACCCACCACTGTTCTCTGTCGATCTCTGTCCTCGACAATCTTCTCTAGTTGTTTCTAGTTGCTATTCATTCTTTTAATATCTGCTTCCAGTTCACAATTCAGTGTGTTCCTTGGTCTTTCCCTTTTCCTCTTAATATCAGGGTTCCAAATTATTGCTTCCATCGTGATAGAATTTGGTGATTTCCGTAATGTATGTCTTATTTGCCTCCAGGGTTATAACTCATTGTGGTATATAAAACAAAATCTGATGCGGGATATGTTACTTCTTCTAAAATATCATAGCATTTCAAACGTAGAAAATGCATTTTTTAGTTATTCACGTGTACGTGTTGTTCTAATTCACACGATAGTAATTTATAATGCAAATATTTACATATGTAAGTAAATTGAAACTGAAGAAGTATTGAGTTTGCTAGACCCAGATGCAAAGCGTTATCAAAATTACTATTATTAGTGTAGTGTCTTGAAGGCAAATGGAGAGAGTTTTCAATTCGTTGACTGGGTATATGGTTCTTTTCAGTCCCTTGTAATTGATTGTATGCTTACGACTGGAGTATTTGTTTTTTATAAGGTTTTGATCAAATAGTACATATTTCTACTTAACCTTTGCGAAGTGCAAAATTATGTCAATACCGCAAAACGCACTTCATCTATGAAACTGTTCATCAACAGTAGAGTTCGTTGATAAGAATTAATGAATAATTGAACAAAAGATTATTTCTATGAAATTATTTAGTTTCAAACATAGTGCTTTAATAGTATTTAAGTAGTGAATGTTTTCTCACAAAATTTCATCATTACGTTATGAATAAGAAGTCAGAAATTAGATGACAGAAATACAAGTGTTAACTGGGGATAATTATGTTTATTTTTCATGAACAGGCTTAGCTATAGCTTTTTTCGAATGCAGTGTTTCAACTATCATTGAGATGGCTGAATTATATCCGAGTAACGATAAAAACGCAAAACTGAATGAGAGTTTTACATTAACATTAAGAAAAGGGTCGTTATAAAACATGATGTTTAACAAACCGTGCTAACTATTTCATCATGAGAATAAGCACACTGTTAATAAGAAACTTTAATCAACTAAAAATGATATCACTATACAGTGAAAGTTACGAAAAGCATTAATGGTCGAAAAAGGTTTGTATTACTCAGTGTTTGATTTAACATTGATGTTGTTACGTGTTTTACTTAGGCTTCAGCATTAATATCAATAATTCTTGTATAATGTCTGGGTATAATAACTAGATAACCATAAATCCTTTTGATTAACATAATTATTTTACTTTATTTTATTGGATAATGAGAACTTATTTCAGCATGTCAGTTTCATTTCTTTTTTTGGGGGGGACAAAAGGAAATATTTTCATTCTCCTTTAAAGCTTACAGGATTAACCATGAACGAACCGGGTATATAAATGTAGGAAAATAAACAATTTGTACAGGAGCTCGTGTATTTCGCGTTATATTTTGTCTAAAAACGTTTTATGCAAGTAGTCAGGAACGTTAGTTTACAGGTGTCGGCTTATTTAAAAATAACCATTTTTATGAAAGTTGTGGTGACTAAAGTGTAAATTTCTAGTGACCAGATCACTGGCGTACCATTTTCTTAAGTTATCGAACGGTTCTAGGTTCAAGCCTTGCCAAGATTATTGATGAACATATTTGAGAAGTTTAATGATATGTGTTTAGTTGTTGAAGTCAAGTTAGTCAATGATACAATTCATCCTTAAATTGTATGGTCTTCATAAGCCTCCTACATTAGAAACAATAATAACATTCAGACAAAAATTACTTACTTAATGTAAATACTGTACATTTTATTACTTCAATCACTTGAAGAAGGTTAATCATATTCGTGAGTTATTCATTTTATTAATTTAATATTTGATCTACCATAGTTCACTAAATTAATTATGACCTTGTATTTCTAGTCAAGATCTAAACAATTAAGGAATTGAAATATGACTGTTTTTTAATACTGAATATTCCATTGACGATTTAAATATATTAAATTCATTGTTTCTAGTTATGAAAGTTGTTTATTATGTACAAATGTGTAAAATGGCACATAATGGAATAATAAACTATGAATTATTGTAAATAATTATGTAATGATAATTAAGACATTGAACTATCATTTTAAATAAGTAATCACTATAACGTTAATTATTAATATAATCGATATTTACTGAATCAATTAATATTCATATAACATTTGGTATTGTATAGTTAACTATTCCTATCATCGGTCCAGTAAATGAATAGCTCAAACCATATTGATATCTCTATCTATCTATCTATCTATCTATCTATCTATCTATCTATCTATCTATCTATCTATCTATCTATCTATCTATCTATCTATCTATCTATCTATCTATCTATCTATCTATCTATCTATCTATCTATCTATCTATCTATCTATCTATCTATCTATCTATCTATCTATCTATCTATCTATCTATCTATCTATCTATCTATCTATCTATCTATCTATCTATCTATCTATCTGACTAACTAACTAACTAACTAACTAGCTAGCTAGCTAGCTACAATGTACTTCTTCAATGTTTCGCCTGTTCTGATTAAATTTAGTGATCATATTATTAACAGTGATGATGATGATTAACTCAGCAACTCAATTTAGTATATTTTTAATCCTTGTTTAACTAATAAAAATTTTCAAGTCAACATATAATTATTTAAACTAATTTAATAATGTAATTTATTATATCTTCATGTATATAGAGAAGTGTACAAAGTTCATTTAACAGATTTGATTAATTTATCTTAATTCATTCAAACAAAATACTAAAAAAAAGTAATTTTCTAAATGATGAATATAATAATAATAATATTACTAATTATAAAAACATAATTGATTATATTTTAGATTGTATCATATCTATAATGTATGTTTCATTGATATTTGCAAGTTATTATGTAAGTATACTTATATTACAATGTTATTGTTCATACTAAAAGTTAAACGTAGTCCCTATTACTTTAATCATTTAAAGTATAAACATCAAAAGTAGAATGTAGGGATACGTTTAGATGTTATGCCTATAATAGAAATAACTGTATGATATAGATTGGAGAGTTATCAGTCAACTTATCCAAATATTCTAACAGAATAGCATGAATTCATTTTTATTTCGTAGTTGCCAAAGCAGCTACATTGGCCGAACAAAAAGGAGGGTATATCTTAGATTTTTTCAACATGTTCGAAAAAGTCTCAGAGCAAAGGAAAGAAAGACTCTAAACTGTACAATCACCAAACATCTCTTTGATACAGGACATCAGGTAGATACATTTCAATCCTTTCAGGTGAATAGTAGTTAGCCAAACTCCAGTCTTCTGAAGTTTGCTGAAGCCGTTGCCATCAAGCGCCAAAACCCTGACCTATGAGTTCGAAAGGAGACGCTTATTAATCTTTCCTTGTCTTGATGACGAATACTCTTTCTAATACAATAAATAAATTAATATATTTGTAATATCCCAATGAGTAGAAACATTAGATTTTCTGATGTTTCATGACTCGATATAAGCCACTTCTTCAGAGAATAGATAACCAAATCAAAATTAATCCAAGTTTAAATAGTACAAAGGAACAAAGCAAGAATATTATTCTTGCATGTTGGGTTTGAATTCCACGTGTGGGATCGAGGATGCGCACTGCTGAGGAGTACCAAACTAGAACGAAACGGTCGTCCAGTAGTAGACTCAATAAAAAACTAAACAATCTCCGCAAACCAATACTGATAATTGTACTTTTTCGTTTTTGATATCTATCAGTCATTTTCTTTGTGTGGCCTGAGTGTTTTTTGCCACTTATTGATTAGTACAGTTTTGTAAGCAGTTAGGTTGATTCACTACTCCATCAGTAATACTAACAATTTGATTCTCAATTAATATTCACTGTATGGCCGGTCTCATTTTATAAACAACCATACACACACAAGCACCCAGATAGACATAACTACAAAGTATAAGTTCAGATAAAATAGAAAATCCTTTGGCAGACTACTATCAAATACTTCACTGATAGAGAAATATATATAGATGTACACATACGTTTATATATATTGGTGCACAAACAACGAGTCCACTTATGAAATGTGTTTATCCAAGTAACTCTGTTATCAAAAGCATAATTTCTAAACCTAAAACAATTGAATTTACATACGCACACAAGTGCACACTAAGTCGTATACACCTATACATATACACCAATACATTAAATTCTATGTTTGTCTTTATTTTCTGTTTTAAAATGACCTCAAATGGACTTATTAGGTATTCGCTTTTAGCCAACGCTAAAAAAACCCTACACAATATGCAAATTGTGATTAATATATGATCTATAAATATATATATATATATATATATATATGTAGCACTTCATTGAAGCGAACGTATTTTCGAATATAAAAAGTTATAAATTTCAGATTCGATATTTTCTCGAGAAATAAACAGAATGTTGGAAGACTTTATCAAAGCATATCTTCATGTATGTTCTGATGGTGATCTAGTTGCTCAACGGCGTGAATTAGTTGATTATTGTAAGAAGAAAAATCTTGATCAAAACTTGGTCCAGGTAAATTATAAAATTTACAGATATATATATATATATATATATATATACTCATTTACATAACAGTTAGTTTCTGTACGTTATTAATTTCTGTTTAATAGATAATCTTCCACCTTACTGTAGTCATCTACAGGTTCCGAATACCATTCGGATGTTAGTATGATGAGCGAAACGTTGTTTGATAGATCATAATATTGATAACCGCCAGAGAGACCAAATTTATGATGCTAATCCTTTCCCTCTAGATAGTAAATAAATTTACAGATTATGAGCAGAAAAATAAAAATGTCCCGGAGTGATCATCAACTCAGATGCATGCATATCAAGCTGAGGAGTCCCAAATATAACGAAACGCGCGTCCTAGATTCCACTGCTAGCCACCATCTATCTTTGCTTATAATGCTTGTTACCTAAGGCAATATTGAGGCAATACACACAGTATGCACATATGCCAATAAGAGTCTGATCAATCGCAGTCTTAAATATCAATGGAAAGATTCAAGCAAACAGTACCAAGTCAAATATCATTCGGAACTCAAGCGAATGTCAGATAAACACCGTATAATCAATCAACCCGTCACTGATATTATGATTAAATGAGTAAAATTGCAGTTACTACTGGCGTCTGATTTTGTTAAAAAGAGATTCGTAACAGAATAATAGTTATAACTAATCAGTTATATTTATCAAGATATTACAATGGTTACAACGGTTTGTATACCTTGATGTGACGGAAATGTAGAGAAGTCAACAACAATGAAATATCAATTACAAAATTAAATTTTCAACTAAATAGTCTATTCGACTTCCATCATAAATAATTCTATAACTCATTACTTCCAACTTAGAGACAATCATCAGTAAATGTATCATTCATAATAGTGGAAGTAATTAGTGATGAGATGTTTAAATAATTATCATTGTTACTTATTAGAGACGTTCTAAGTTCATGATCCTTACATTACAAGTTAGTTTCTCTAAAATAAAAAAAATAGATTCAAACACAAAATGTATAAGAAATGATAAAATGTTGAGGTTAAAGCGGTAAGACAGATTATCAGTTGCATTTTGAACATTGAAGAAACATTTTATAATTATTTAAAAACTTGCCGTCCATCTTTAAACCCTCTGATTCAGAATTTAATCACTCACATTTTACAATTACAGTAAACTTATAGTTCCGGACATTGTGCAACGATCTTCCGTTGTCTTTGGTAGTCAACGTTTTAACATTCGACACGTTGAAGCATCACTAGTCGTAGCTTCTCACTGGGACTCTAAATTTTCCTTCAAATTTAGTCGCTCGTGAACGTATAATAACTATCAGTACATGGAGTTTGTGGTGATTGTTGAATATTGTTGAAGTTACCAGATGACCTATGTTAGACAGCTTTTTCACTGGTGTGCAATGATGTCTGTAAACCAGGTCACAGTATCTATTATTATACCTGTATTTATTAACATTTTATTTCTTGGTCCACAGCAATGGATGGATCGTTTTGATGTTGATAAAGATGATCAAATAACAATGGAAGAATTTTGCAGGGCATTAGGCCTAAATCAATCAGAAATGTAAGTCGTTCACAAAATATTGGTTGTATTTTAATTTGATATTTATTTCGAAAAATATATTCCAAACAAACTATGGTTTCTGTCGTTATTATGAGTATGCATAGGTAAGAGATCCTGAATTGGGCATAAGTGCATGCTATTGAGTAATCTCACATTATGATGAAACAGCTACACGTTAGTTCTTGGTTTTCTATGGGTGTCCTTAATGTAAAACTACAACATCCTGTAGATGTTCATTCCAAAACTCAAAACCCAGTACCGTTCACTTCAAAGGCATTCACGTTATTCACTTAGCTACTGAGTCCTGATCGCCAACATCCATCTTTGCTTACAGTGCTTGGGAATTAAGGCAATATTGAGACAATCCATACAAGATGCACATATGCCAATAAGAGACTCATCAATTACAGTCCTGAATATCAATGACAAGATTCAAACAAATAATACAAAATGAACTCAGATTTCTTCATACCTTAAAAATTTGATATGTTCACTAGTGTACTTTTTAAAACCCATCAATTATGCTTTACATATACAAATTTGTATATTATATTATCAATCTATCAATTAAAAATTTAGACTGTATATAGAAAGAGTGTTTGATATTTATGAATTTATAAGACTTATACTCATCGTTTCATTGATATAATACAGATAGACTAATTCATTGATACATTTAAACAAGAATAACATGATTTGTAGAAAGAAGTGAATTCATTGTATTTTGAGGTTTCTCATTAGCTGTAAACGACTTGAAGTTACAATTAGTATTATTATTGTAAATACTATTCCTAATACTTTAAACAATGAAATTGAGTTACAAACAACACAGAAAAAAATACTAGAACTTTGGAGAAGATAGAAAATTATTTAACGTAGTAGTTAAGATTGATGAGTAGTTCTAAATTAGAAGTAAATTCATTTAATTGAATGCATTTTCTCTGTGAACATTATGTAATCCTTGAAGAGAATACTTGTAACCTGAGTATATTAATAATACAATATTCGTTTGTATTGATACCTAGTGTCTAGCTGAATGTACAAGGATGCATGCTTTACTTTGATTTTGTAGGTAACCTTCCTGTGAGACAGATATAGATAAGTAAAAATATAAGAATAAATGTTATCCGTTGGCCGATCGCTCAAAATGTCAAACACAAAACAATATAGTTCACTGAATAGTGACAGTCAACTTTATGATCACATTATTTTCTTTAATTTCTAAACTACTGGAAGTTGAGAATCGCATTCAGAACTCTTTGATAAACAATTTGATCCGATAGGAATGTTTAGTATGAAATTATTTAGTAATTTAGCATATTAATGTCTAAGTACCTTGATATATATATATATATATATATATATATATATATATATATATATATATATATATAATGATAGGCACAAAGTTCAATTGAACTGTTTTTCATCCTTACAAATTCGTTTCAAACAGAGAGTCATTTAGTAGCAGAAGGGGTTTTGTGGATTTTATAATAATTTTAATAGTTTCGATCATGAGTCAATTGAAGCTACACCGCCATGGAAAACCTGGAAGCAGTGGATGGCCGTTTCGTCCTAGTATGGGACTCCTCGGAAGTGCGCATCCACGATCCCGCCGCCCACGAGATTCGAACTCAGAACCTATCGGTCTTGCTCACGAACGCTTAGCCACCAGACCACTGAGCCGGCATCCGACAGTGTCATTGACTAATTTTAACTAATCCACGGAATTGAGCGACACATCCATCATTGTCTTCAGTGAGTTACTATCTCACGACAGACCCGGTTGAAGTCCATTGGTCTCTGATTCTCACTAGAATTCCAGGAAATTCCTCTTAGACATATGTTCACTAGTGACTGACTTCAAGAGGTATTTCCTGGATTTCTAGTAAGAAGCATTAATCAGTAGAGTTCAACCGGGTCTGTTGTGAGAGAGAATTGTTTATTTAATATTTAGAACAATAATACTATGTACTATGTAAAACTATTGAACTTATCCATTCAAATGATACTTTTCATACAGTCAACTTAATGACATTTTAATAAAACTAATTAAAATTAATTCTCAAATTATTAAATTTCAATGTAACAAACTCAATTATAATGAACATGTTACATAATAATTAAAGTAACAAATTTATAATTTTACAAAGACAACAAAAAAAATACGTATCTTGTAACTAATTAATAAAGATTGCTAAGCGATATCCTTAATATTATGCCTTGAAATAATACTAAACAATTGAGGTTTTAGTCTAGTTTATTTTGATTCTACAAGTATCAATTATTTTGATAGAGTTTTGTTTTCTCCAGCTCAGAGAGAACAAAACTCCATCAAAATCATCCACCTGAGCTACAAATCTTCTCCATCATCTTAATATCAATTATATTGTATTAATTAGAAGCCTTTCAATGTAGCTTTTATATTTTCAAACGTCCTTAAAATTTGTTTGGGAATTATTTACTGGCTTATAAATTTGCTATTAGTTGTCATTTTTTTAATAATCAGATGATTTATTATCTCTAGTATATTTTATAAAAATCCCGCAATCCCGCTCACGGGAGTCCCATACTAGGACAAAACGGTCATCTAGTGCTTCCAGGTTTTCCATGGTGGTCTAGCTTCAATTGACTCATGATTTAAACTATTGAAAATACATAGTTTGTTTAAAATTTATTCCATATATATTATTTATTACATTTTCTTACTATTTTTAATAGGTGTATAGAAAAAGTTCAACGTAGTAAAGTGAATGTTGCTTCAACACCGAAACCTTCAAAAGATTTTGAAATAATTCTATCAAAAATGTCACCACAAGCTGAATATGATATTACTGAACATGTACGTGAACTTATGGGTGATTTAAAAGAATTCAAACAATCAGAAATTAAAGAAATCTCTAATAAATTAAAACAATATTTAGATGAAACATATGATCGTGTATGGCAAGTAATTATATTAAATGGATCATATTGTATGAATTTTTCACATGAACCGTTTAAAGCTCTTCATTTCAAATATGGACCAAATATCTTTTTATTATGGCGTACACCAAAAGGTTAAAATAATCCAGTTAATGTACAATTAAACATATAAAACAACATAAAAATGGATTGAAACATTGATCTTAGTATTTAATGTTAATTAGTTATTTACTATGTTCAACAATTATGATGTTTGTTACTATGAGTTATGTAATTTTGTATTGCAAAGAAATATACCTATTACATGTACTATAATAAAAGAATCTTTTTTAAATACTTTTTTAATAATAAGGAATTTAATAAATTATTGTTGATTATGTACAAGCGCGATTGTTGATAAGAGTTGGTTGAATTTAGACATTAACACCGTTGAATGCCGGCTCAGTGGTCTAATAGTTGAGCGTTCGCACGCGAGACTGATAGGTACTGAGTTCGAATCTCGTAGGGGGCGGGATCGTGTATACGCACTTCTGAGGAGTCCTATACTAGGACGAAACGGCCGTCCTCTGCTTCCAGGTTTTCCATGGTGGTGTAGCTTCAATTGACTCATGATCGCAACTATTAAAATTATTATCATACCCACAAAACCCCTTCTGATGATAAGAGTTTTAGTAAAGATATTACTTCAAGAAAAAAATAAAAAGAAATCAATAATTATGAAGTGACGAATATATATAGGAAGTTCGTGGATGTTGTTCAATTTGTAGGTTATATCGTGAACTCATTTCAAGTAGAATGTAATGTATAATCAGTGATTTTTGATTTTTAATGATTATTTAGCTGTAATCAGTTAGTTATGTATATAACATATTATGAAGGTTGTTTGTTTTAAAGAATAGATCGTGTGGAGAAGATTTTTGTTAAGCCCGCTAATGCTTGTCGAATAATGATTAATTCTAACGATAGGTTTTTATAGTGTAATTAATGCTTCAAATACAGAACTTGTATTACATTCACAGTTTTAAGTATATTACTTGAGGATACATAAGATTGGCTAAATGGGAAATTATGATTTTACGTGTTAGGCGATTGAAGGCAGTCTTTAGGAAATTGTCGTCCATTAATTATATGAAACATATTAGAAATATATATCCGCAATCTTGAGTTGACCAATATTTCCCATGATTTAAACCTATATTACCGAACACTGAGCTGTTCAAAAAGAAAATGACCACCAACAGGACTGTCAATATTTGACATTATACCCTGCTTATACTTGGTCATATGAAACGCAACCTCTATAACTAGTTATGAGCATAGTTTTTTTCGATAATAGTGGACCAATTAAGTAAATAATAGCAACCGAGAGCAGACAGTACTATGTAGTTGTGATAAATCTACTGAAGAAAAAGCCTTATTAACTGTAATCTTTATGACGAATACAATACGCATACCTAGACAACATTTAATTTGATACGGCGTGTAAACGATAATGTGATCACGTTAAACAAGAAACATGTGGTATTAATTTATGAGATTATTACTAGTTGGTTTGAGTCATGCGAAAAAGTGTAATCATCGTGGTCGAAATCAGATAACAGTAATTAATCACTGAATGTTTATTTTGAGATTACTTTAATATTTATTTATACAGAAGCATTGATAAAGATACTATATTTTCTTCGAGGAAAATGTATCTTTACTATCTATGCACTGAATTATAGACACTTATATGACCTGTGTAATTGTGCTGAATATAATAAATGAAGTAGCAATAATGAATCGATTAGAATACTACAAAGATGTATGCTTTGAAAAACATAATAAGAACACCTTCATCAATAAGTGGTTGAGAGAAAGTTGTAGGAATTGATAAAACGTACAATCGTAAGACAAAAAGAAACATAATAACTATCATCATTTTTATTAAGATTCATATGCGTAAATCATTTGAACCTATATGAATAAATGTCTTTACTGACCTTACGCTGATTTAAAGACAGAAGAACCTTTAATTAAACTTGATAAATTGATTATTCGTGAAAAATACATTATGTTATATTCATTCTTTTTCGTTGATCATAAACTATTCTCTCTTACTATTCACATTGTGATTGATTATAAAAAACAAACTTCAAGTATCGCTATGATTAATTACATTATTTGTCCTAAAAATGTTTAACTTCATTTTAAGAGTTACTCAACTTCTGTAGTATAATTTAGTTTTAAACTTCATAAACTATAACTAAACAAAATTTATTTGATTCTCTGTATAAACGATTTATTTATTCGAACCGATTTGAAATTTTGTTTCAACAAAAGAGTATGTTTATGATTATTATATGTTTTCCACTGTGGAAAGCCATCACGATTGATGAGACAGATATCTACTTCAGACAATGAAAGATAGTTTCTTAATTTCGTGGATTGGTTGAAATTTGACATTAATACTGTTGGATACCGACTCATTGGTCTGAGGGTTAATTGTTCGTGCACAAGACAGATAGATCCTGGTTTCGAATCACGCTTGCGGGGTCGTTGATATGCATTACTGAGGAGTCACATAATAGAACTAAATGACCGTCCATTACTTCCAGATTTTCAATAGTGGTCTAACACTGGTTTATTCATGATCTCAATCAGAGACTGATTATTAAATTATCTTTTTTTTGTAACTGAATTATGAATAGAAACAATGAATGAAATTAATTTAATTGTTATACAATTATCACCAGACATATACAAAAATAAGAACCGTAGACCTTATAAGTTCATTATAATCTTGTTTTATTTTTTTAAGATGCTTCTTTTTTCAGTATTGTTTGTCTTTTTTTGAAAACAAAGACGATAAAAACAATTAACAATACTACTACTATTACTAATAATAATAATAATATTTTCATTGTACATAGGATTGTATTATTAGAAGTGGGTGTATTTGGGTATGAGAAAGTGTCACTTTTTATTGTGTGGATGAAACAAAAACAATTGAAAACGGTCAAATAATGATAGTAATTATATTCTTTTATTATTATGTCAAGCGTTAATTCGTTAGGTTACTGTAATGTACTCTATTGGTTTCAGTACGTTTGATATGATAATAAGTTTCATCTATTTCTTTTTATCCAAATGCTATTTTTTGTATGAATTTGATGTTCATCATAATTTTTTAAAATGGATTTTTATGTTACTGTGATGTGAATTCAACTATCACTATTCATTGTAAACTACTTGGTAATTACGGGTTGATTCGAACCATATTGTTTACATGAGTGGTGATAAATTTACCATACTGTTCAGATAAAAAGTGATTTTGAAATCTTCAGTCTACTGGTTAAAGTAGGAATGTTTTTATCACGGAATTACGTAACTTATGATGGTCTACTCAAATGTTTGAGGTACCTAATTTCCAATGGCGAAAATATGACAATACATCATGTTTTAGATTTGTTTAATCTGAATTATTATGAATGTTAAATGTGATTACTCATAAAGCATTATAATCGGCTTAAAACCTGTTATGGTGCTAAATACTGAAGATTTCAAAATGAAACACAGTATCTGTTAAGATATTCCTCTCTTTGTCTACCATTCGAAAAAAAACAAGAGAACTGTTTGTCAGGATTGATGTTAAATTCTTGGTCGATGAAAATCAATAGTTGTAGCATACAAACTGATAGAAAAGGTTTGTCATTAAAGATGAATGTCGGACATTGATCCTCAAAAAGCCATTACTTACTTACTTACTTACTTACGTCTGTTACTCCCAATTGAGCACAGACCGCCGACCAGCCCTCCCCAACCCACTCTGTTCTGGGCCTTCTTTTCTAGTTCCATCAAATTCTTGTTCATTTTTCTCATATCTATCTCCATTTCTCGGCGTAATGGATTCTTTGGTCTTCCTCTCCTCCTTCGACCTTGAGGATTCCATGTGAGGGCTTGTCTTGTGACGCAGTTCGGTGCTTTCCTCAATGTGTGTCCTATCCACTTCCAGCGCTTCTTCTGATTTCTTCCTCCACTGGGATCTGATTTGTTCTCTCCCACAGTAGGTTGTTGCTACTAGTGTCTGGCCAACGGATCCGAAGTATTTTGCGTAGACAACTGTTAATAATCACCTGTATCTTCTGGATGATAGCTTTCGTGGTTTTTCGGGTTTCCGCCCTACACAGTAGAACTGTCTTCACATTTGTATTAAAAATTCTGACCTTGGTGTTGGTTGCCAATCGTTTTGAGTTCCAGGTGTTCTTCAGTTGTAAATATTCTGCCCTTCCTTTGCCGATCCGTGCCTTCATATCTGCATCAGATCTACCGTGTTCATCGATGATACTGCCCAAATATGTAAGGGTTTTTACATCTTCCAAATGTTCTCCGTCAATTGTGATTCGATTGATGTATGCTGTGTTGTATCGGAGAATCTTGCTTTTCCCTTTGTTTATACTGAGACCTACTTCTGCTGAGGCTACTGCTAAACTGGTTGTCTTCTCCTACATTTGTTGTTGCGTTTGCGATAGAAGAGCCAGATCAAGAGTTCTTTGAAGTGTTCTACCCACCTGTTTCGTTGTTCTTCAATGCTGGTGATTATCTTGCCTTCCTTGTTTTTCACTGGTCGTTCTGGTTTACGTTGATTTCCAGAGAGTTTCTTTGTTGTTTCATACAGTTGTCTCATGTTTCCTTCTCTGGCAGCCTTAACCGCCGTCAATGCCAAATCTTCCACATATTTACGTTTGTCAGTTCTGATGCTTTTCTTCACTTGCTTGTTTACTTCTGTGTATTCAGCTTGTCCCTTGGCTTTTCCTGCTCTTGTTCGACTGGTATTGATTGCTGCCTTCTTGTTCCTTCTTTCTTGAATCTTATCCAGTGTATCGACCGTGATCCAATCCTTGTAATGGTGCTTCTTGTGGTCCAGAACCTCATAACATGTTGAAGTGATTGCCTCTTTTATCTCTTTCCAGTTGCTCTCCATAGTAGTTTCTTCTCCATTGAGTAGATCATGAAAGGCCTGGAACTTATTGCTGAGGGCTATTTTGAATTTGTTGAGTTTGTCAATATGTCGAAGGAAAGACGTATTA